CCTTTTGCAGCTGGAGGACAAAAAAGATGTAAACTCCCAATGGGTGGAGAAGGTGAGCAAGTTCCACGTCCTGGCCACAAGACATTTAAACATGAAGTCAACGCAGCCAAGTTAGTCCTCATTCTAGTTTACATTAAGGAAATATCACTGTAAGAAGAACAGTGTACTGGAAAGTCTGGCTCAGCCTTGGAATATGCACTTCCTCAACAAGGAGAGAGAGAGAATGGAGGGTGTAGGAGTTGAAGAAGAGCTGAAGGCTAACACTTGGAACATTTGTCAAAATCTCTATAACCGTATTTTCCTGGGCACTGGACAGAGAGCAAGAAATATTAATAACAGATAAATAGATCTCAGACCTCATTAGAATGATTCACTGAGGCAGGAGTAGAAACCTGCCTTGCTGGGGAGAAGAATTGGAAGAGATTGCGTAAGTTTTTATGTCCAATGCCTCATATAAATGTGACAATAAATTTTTAATCCCAGTGATCAGTTTTACTTAAGGTGATACCATTGCTAGGAAAAAACATTTTAGAAAACATTTATTACTGTAATAGCTCTGAAACATTTTAGGAAACACTTTATCATTGCTGGAAATAAATTTTATGTCAAACAAAAACTGTAATAGTGTACACTCTACAGCAAAATATTTTGTAAAGAATTCTTTATCTTTCTAAGGTTTTCTATGATAGCATCTACATCAAAGAGCTAATATGGGTCTTTCATAACCTAAAGTTATAGACTCTTAAGCATATTTCATGTTTTTTGATGTTGTAAAATCATATTAATTTTACATAACAAGATGGATGGCTAAATGGATGGATAAGTGAGTGGATGGACGGATGGATGCATGCATGGATGGATGGATGCATGGATGCATGGGTGGATGGTTAGATAAGTGGGTGGGTTGATTGATGAATAAAAGATCAATTAATAGATGAAGAGCTGTTATTTTAGAACTGGCTTTGGTTTGAGATGGGTCACTTTTTAAAAATCTTATGAAAAAAGGCTTTTCTCTATGAGAATAACACCATATTTTGAGCATTTGGCTGTAAAAGAGGTCCAACCTCCACAAGAGTTCTAAGAATGAAATTGCTCTACAAATAGTTTCAAATCCCTCACTGTGGGCTGGGAAGAGAAGGTTTGTAGGTCTGTGATACTGAAGAGATACGTAAAGAATTTAAGAGAAACAAAAAGGGAGGGCCCCAGGATGGTAAAAAGTCAAGACCAAAAGAGAAACACGGCATGTAATGGGGGAAAGGCAATAGGCTTCCATGATTGGAGAATTTGGAATTCTTCCTGTCCCATGCTGTGATTATCCTGTACCCCCCAACTTTCCCATGATGCCCCTGACCACACCAGGCAGCAGTAGCAGGCACTGAGGGAAGTGGGAGGAGATCAGGACTGAGCAGTGATGGAAACCCAACAGCATCAGGAAGTCAAACCTACAAGAAACAAGATTACAAGTCACTGCCATGTGTGCCCCCCCCACCTGCTGGATGCTGAGAACATTGGGAGTAGACTCATTTCTCACACTAAAGGGGCCCAAATCACTTTGCTAGGAAATAAAATCATAAGTTGATTCCTCAAGGCCAGAAAATTTGGCAACATCCGAGTAGCCAGTGTCAGTTACCCGTCTTACAGAAGAGTAAACTGTTGTAACTAGTAAATGCACCCATTTATATTTGTCCTAGTTTTCCTTAACAAAAATACCACAAGATCCAAACTACATTAAAAAAAAGTCTGTGAGGAACCAGAGTTTTTACTCTGGTACAATCTGCTCCTTAGCAATGTTGATTTCAGGAGGTAAAAGCATGTACGAGCATTGCAAGTCATACCATGCAGACAGAGATTGAAATAAAGGCAGGTTCTTCAACGCGTCTCATGGGAAAGATCACTTCATTAATTTCATTGTCTTTCTAATCTCTGAGACATGAGGCTAGGGTAGATGCAGAAGGGACAGCTGTTCATCCTCTGCCCTAGGTTGTGACCTCCTATGTGTTTCCACCGAGGAAAGTGGCTTCTTCCTTCTCCTGAGTCACAAGAATGGAATTACGTAACACCAAGGTTTTGCTGAGGACTTAGCTCCAGTAACTTTCTTCCCTCTTTGGGCAGAGGGTTACTTTTTAAACCTTTTCCTATACCCCGGCTCCTTCCCTCCAGCCCAGGAACTCCCAGCTGCAAACGGGGTGTCCATGCAGTGTGTGAGCTGTGACATTTTACGCTTTGTACTTAAATCCGAGATTATCCCTACAAAATTGCCATCACATTCTGAGACGTTATGTTCATTTGGGTCAGAAAACCTCAGTTTGCTAGTTGGGGATGGTCTGGAGCCTGTGGTTTATCTCTGCTACCTGTGGATGTTTATGTAACAGTCTTTGCAAAGGAAGAGCAGATTGTAGTGCCCTGAAGAATGGGACACAGGTAACAATACAGGAAGGTACTGTATATGGGACCATTATTCTTTACAACATTGCAGCCTGCAAAATACGAACAAACAAAACATCCAGAACCATGGTACCTCAGGACATACTCAACTTTCACCTCATTAAATCCTTTCTGAAAAATCATACGATTTCTAGATATAAAACCAAAAAGGCAATGTGTAAAGTTTAATTTGTCTGAATCTCTGTATGAACCTCTGTCCAGATAGGAAACAGACAGTACCCTCAGGTTAGGACATTTAAAGAAGGGTCATCTGAAGAGGGCCTCTTGTAAAGGCCCTGGTGGGGTACAGGACAGCCCAAAGGGGTGTAGTGAACTGCAGCTGGCAGCAGTGGAGCTGCCACCATCCCTGCACCCAGAGGAATGGAAGAAGAGGTGGTCTCTCCAACCCAGAAGGAGAGGGTCACATGGAGGACACTGGTCCAGAGGGCCATGAGCCTTGGAGAAGGCGGGCAACCACTCCCCGGCACAACCTCTGGGGAAAACAGGGGGACAGACTCCCTGAACCATGTCTACTCCCTCTTTTCCAAAGAGTCTGATGCTCATCAGTGACTTCCCATTGGCCAAATCTAAGAAATAAATAATGTCTAGCTCTTTTCTAACTCAATGTCTCGTCTACGGCCATCCCACCCTGAACGCACCCGATCTCATCTAACTCCGTCTCTCTCTAGCATTTGATGTGCCTGACTATTCCCTTTGTCTTGCAAGTCTTCTTTTTCTCCTTTGATTGCTGGGACACTATTCTTTCTTGGTTTGCCTCCTCCCTCTATGTCCGCCCTTGGACTCCTTCGTGTTCCTGTGGCACGCCTGGCAGGTGACCACATCTTGTGAGGATGCCGCAGGGTCTTCAGGAACAATGTCACCTAACAGGGGTTAGCTCTGCTAACAAGAAAAGCAACATGGAGTTTGACAATTTAGTATTCCTAAAGTTGTCTAAATCTCCCCAAAAGCTACCATTCCTCCTCTCAAACCCCCTGTCTTGTCATCAAGGTCCTCATGCTCATATAAAAGACCTGACAAGGTGTGAATTCCACCTACAATTCAGCTCAGCATACTGCAGGGTCAGACCTGGGTGTGATTTTTAACTAAGTCAGCCCTTTGGCAAAAGGTAAGCAAGCCCATTTGGGTCATCCAGGGAAACTCCCTAGATAGTTGAACATGAATTTAAAACCTTAAGTTATTATTTCCTTTTTGCAAACCATCCAGTGATTTACAGAAAGACCAGCTTAGCCTATGGTGGATCACCCATGCCTAAGGTGACTCTATCTATTTATCTATCTATTTACCTATCTAGCTATCTATCTACCTATCTATCTATCCATTTGTCTACCTATCTATCCATTCCAGTTTGTCTGGCATGGCCCATATCTATGATCTTGGAATCTGTAACGGTATTCCCTTTCACTTTCAAAAGTGTACTAATTTAAAAATTAATTGTACCTATGTTTCACATGCCTAGGCTGTTACACATGCACTGACACCACCTGTTTATACCAAATCTCCACTTGGACACTCTAAGCAACAGCAGTGAAAATCTCTCTCACTGCTGAATGGCACGGGCCATCGGTACACGGAGTTTCCACTGGTCTGAAGGCAAAAGGATCAGATCGTCGATTCTAGATTCCCATTTCTTGGGTCAGTTGCCTGCAATCCTCTTGGTACTAACATCTACATAAATCAGGAATTCTTATTTGCAGACTATAGCATTCCCAGGTATAAAAACAGAAAGAAACGTTCTATAAAATATTATGAACTTCACAGAATCCTGAGGGATTGGAATCAAAGCTACGTTCACAGCCACACTGATGCAACAAAAGAAATGTTCAACATAAGACTGCTCTGTTATAAACACTACTGTCCGTATCACCTACCTTCCACCTAAGAGGGAATGAGACAGTGGTCCATCCCCAAGGCCACACGGGAGTGCACTTCTCTGTGGCAACCCTCTAACACCATCCTGCCTGCACTCCAGGCCCTGCGCCAGGGCATCCTCTGCATACAGCCGGGTCATGGATGGAAAGCTAGACAGGAAAATGCAAGTATGCTTGCATTTATGAGTTCTTCAACCCAGAGGCTGATTAGAGGGGCTTTCGTGAGATGCAGAGTGAGTCTTATCTTCAGCATCTACCATGAACTGCAAAGGATTCTGGGCAAATCTGCCTAGGGATGCTGTCTCCTCAGAAGGGGATTAGAGCCCTCATCTCAAGCTACCTTGGCAGAGCAAGCCACTATTCCTGCTTAGCTCCATTGCTGTGTCGGCTGTGTGCAGCATACTCAGAAGAGCTCTGGGGTGGGGGTGAGCGGGGGCTAAGTCAGACGACGGAGAAGAACTCTGCGCTGTGGAATGGGGGTAGCAGATGTAACTGAGGCTCTCACTCCTACAACACAGGGGGTCAGAGTTGCTTCTGCAGCTCAAGAGGTGACAAGAAGACCCCCTCACGGGTGCTCTAGCACACTGACACGAGTCGGTCCTCACAGCTGGATGGAAGGGAGAGAGGACTACTTTTTAAGAAAAATTGGGACACAATTTCTGCTAACAGACAAAGCAGATTCTATTCTGAACTTGCAGATAACCTTAGGTTTATTATTTCTGTCCTTATCACACACACATTCAGTCAGGCAAGGAGGACCTGGTAGATTTTCCTTTGTCTTCACCCCTCTCTTCTCCCCGTCATCTCTCCGACCAGTGATCCCTTCACTGGCAAGGCAGGACCCCTGTAGCACCTTCTCATTGCCCATGTCCGTCTAAGTGGGCCAGGGGATGCTTCAAGACCAACTCCCTGTGCATTGCCTTTTCTGATATTTGTGTGTTTTAACCAGGCCATTTACAAGTCCGACAGCATAGAGGAGAGACGCTGCCCCACCGGGGCCGCTGTGAACTCGGGCAGGAGGGAGGCCAACATCAGAGGTCAGACGTCGATCTTGCAGATCGGCTGGCCCCGCAGCTCATAGCACTCTGGGCCCTGGCTCCGGAGCAGCTCCTGCCCCTCGGTGCCACTTCGAGCCCGCAGCTGGGGAAAGCGCGTGGGAGAGGCAGCAACGCACTCGTAGTGCCGGTCCAGGTAGCGCAGGTAGATGAGCATGTGCAGGGCGTAGGCCAGCACCAGTAGCAGGATGAGGGACATGGCCAGGCCGATGAGGACGGCCGGCGAGAAGGATGCAGCGCAGTCTCTGGCCTTGGCGAACTGCCCGCCCTGGACGGCAAAGCCTTGGAGCTGTCAGGAGAAAGAGAAGACCGGCATGACTGCGCCTTCTCTCCGCAGCACCACTTCCCTCCCGAGCTGGTGGCTCTGGGGCCCTGAGAAGCTTCATTTAATTTGCTCTCACTACATGTGATGCACAGCCGAGGCATGTGATCGCACAAACATGACGGTACTGACAGGGGCCGAGAAATTTGATTTTAAATCAGGACTGACCCCCAAACTCAGGACCTACGGTCGTCATAATTAAGGGGCTCATGAAATCCAGGGCTCTGAAATAAAAGCTCCTTTAACCTGGTTCTTAGGGATATTCTAGTTTGGGGGGGCAAGGGAGGGGAGGGGGAGGG